GATGGTCTCATGGATAGACGAAGGTAGAGGACTTTGAGTGTGTTTTTTCTCTGTGTTCAAGAGTCTTTTTGTAAGTGGGACAGAAGGTGCAAAAAATAGATCCCGTACCCTTGAGGAGTCACTCCGCAAAGTCACCTCTTTGCCCTGGGCCTTAATGTGTAAAACCAAGTGTCCATACTCTCTCTTTTCACTTCTTGCAGTCTGCCTCTTTTTCCCCTCTTTGGCTTAATGGCTTACCCAGGCCTTTATATCAGCAAGGACTGTGCAGCATAAGTCAAGGCTGTGTGCTAACAAACCCCCAAGCTAATTAGAAATTTTAGCCAAGCTGGCTCGGCTTCTCATTTCCTCGCCTTTTCCCTCCCTTTGGACAAATACCACTTCACCCCTCAAGCCGTGCAGAATTAATCCAGTTAATGTTCAACACAGAATGAATAATGTCCACTTATCTGCTGGGAACATGGGTACAGAGGGGGCTCCTGCATGGGTAGAAGACCCACAGTTAACCCCCAGATTTAGTGTCACACTAAATGGCTGTAGTTAGGAAGCCAAACGACTGCTAGGCTAGGGCGAAAGAGAGTCAGGGTGTCTTTAGAGTGACACTGCTCTCACTGATTGTCAGCCTTCTATATCAACATAGTGACAGCAGCTCCATTTGGGAAACCATCAAACCTACTGGCAGTAACTTCCTCTGCTTTCTAACTAGATGTGAGTGTTCACATGAATGACTGCACTCTTAATGTAGCAGAAGGGGAGTTAGCCAACAGCAGGCAATTAAAGGTCAAAAACAATCTGACTTTTGTTGCTGGTTGACATCTTCTGCATCATCACCAATGTGCCATTTACTGAGTAAACACCCCTTGAATAGTTTGTTGATGTCCTTGCACAATTAAAGGCTAACTCTATTCTGCTCCAGGCTCTCTTCTAGGCTGCGTTATACTTCAATGAATGGTTATCAATAAAGTATCATTGCACAATACTATAAAGACAAATGGTTCATAGAAAAGGACGAGAGCAGGTTTAACCATTTTTGAAGTATTAAGAATTGTCTTGTAAACATAAAAAAAAAACCTGACAGCAAGGTTTAAATCATACTTTAGTTCTTATCCTGCAAACCATGCTCAGTGTTGGGGCATGAAATATAAAGAGAGAAACCGGTTAAGACTTATGACTGTACGTTAATGGGTTACACTCTGGCTGCATGGTGTCAGTATGATTTGGTTTGAATCAATCTTTAAACTACACTGAAGTTATTGCGCAGCGCTGCAAAAATGTCATAAAGGATCTAATTAAATCCTTAAATTTCCGTTTTGCTTACTAGCCCTCATATTGCCAAAGACAGTTCCTTAGGAATGCAGTGGTGTTGCATCAGTTGGAAACCAGTTTGGGATCAGTACTGGGTTGCACGGTACACCAGCTATTTGCAAAGGTCATATGTAGCCAAGTTTGAACATAATTTCCATTGTTTTGAAAGGTGGGATAAATTGGAGGATGTGGAGGAGCAGAGAGTTTTACTGCCTGTTTGGTGTCGGCAGTACATTCTCCCTGAGAAATGTGTCATGACTTTGAATTGTAATCCCGCTGTCATTTTCCATGAGCAAAGATAATTCCATCTGTCCAGCAACAGAGTACCGCTAAATAACCTTCTGTTTTAGTTGAAGATTTCACAGCTCGATGTGGATTAAGGTTGTAGCTGTGCTCATCACCATGTCATGGTGCTCTGTCATATTTGACATACATTTGCGTTGCTGTTTGTGGAGTTAGTGGATGTTATGTTCAGTCGTTAGGCTTGTGACAAATAGGCACTGAAGGCAACACTGTAACAAACACTGAATAAAAAAATACTGTTCACTGATTGACCGCAGGATGTGAAAATGTCATTTCTGTGACAATATTTTGGTTAGTTTGGACGTAACGCTCTACTTGTTAAAGTGAACAACACGTCTCCATGGTGCAATAATGACAGCTTAAAGTTAGAACATACTAGTTTCAATGTTGGGTTGAGTGTGGACTTTGCACCCAAACTTAAGGCAGAACTTACATACAGTAATTTTAGCTGGTGCAGTGCACTCGAGTAGTCATACATTTGTTAAAGAAACTCTGCAGCATTGGGACAAAAAGTTGCATGGAAGCTAGCTCTCTCCCTCCCGCCCAACATGAGCTATCAGCTGTTGGGGTGAGTCCCAGCTGCCTCGTGTGTTGACTCTAGAGTGATAGCCATCAGCATTTGCCACATGAAAGGAGAGGAGACTGGTGTTCCTAAAAAAGCAGATGAGAAATAAAGATGAGGAGGCCATGTTTGAATGCTGGCTACATTTCAAGTCAAGATAACCGCATTGATTTATCAGGTGTGTTTTTCTGACCATATCAGGCCTTATGTAAATCAGATCCTCCCCCCGGTGGGACATAAAACATGTTCTTTCCGGATAAGATCGTTTGAAGTGGTACAACTTTTCTGCATACTTTCTTGCAAATAGGGCTCCTGGCCCCGGGGGAAACATGTATTTACAATATCAGCCATCCTGTCCTCTGATAAAGACAAAAGCCTCCATATGATTATGCGTGCTTAGGAAGGGAGGGAACCTGTTTCGCTCAATGTCTAAAATTACCATCTCTGTGCATGCCAAGAGTCCATGAAGGCAATGCTATCTGTGGTATGTCCCCCAAGCTGGCCTCTATGCTTTTATTCAGCCCACTCATGGCATTTAAAACAGCTTGCTGCAGGTCGAGGAGCTGTTTATTGGGGGAAAAGGGAGTGACTTAATGGATGCAAACCCTGGCCCCAAACCAGCTGACCAATTCTGTAGTGATCTGAGTAGAGCGGACAGTGTCACTTAGGGGCTCCTTGTAAAAGCATGTGGATAAGCCATAAGTACAGCCTGACGTGTAATTGATATTCTTATGTATGTAAAGGGGGCGGCGTTTATGTGCTGAAAACACCTGACCACGTGTGACAAGAAGGTCCAGGGTAGAAAGACAACTTTCACTAAAGCGAAAAGCAGAGCTGTAGTTTGAGTCCAGGGAAGCCTGAGGAACAGTTCCTGAAAGGAGAAAAGAGACCACAACCCTGTCCTCACAAACTGAGGCGGTCATTCAGAGCTGCCGCCTGTTTTCAGCACTATAGTTCTTCCCCGTTATTTTGAAGCAGCCCTTTTTTAATTTCCTTCTCCCAGTCCTTTTATTTTTACTTGAGTTTAGCAAATAAGCAGCAGTGAGGATCTTTTGGGAAAAAGATACACAAATCCTGATTTAATTACTCTCTAACCCAGTTTCATGCTATCCCTCCTCCTCGTTGCCTTTTGAAAATCTTCCACAAATCTGTTAAGCTTCGATTGCCAGGAAGACTTTTGAGTGTTTTTTTCTCTTCTTCTTTTTTTTTTCTTGACACATTTTGCGTTACACAAATAAGAAAATGGGTTGCCACAGTGGGATGTTGTTTAACACTCCTACCTCTCATTGTGGGAAGAAGAGAAGAGAGAACGCATCATAGAGTTTGATGCCATGCCAGTGTTTCGAAGATTAAGAAGGAACCAAAATAGCTGAGGTAGTGGCAATCTGTCAAGGAATGATTGTGCTGTTTATATTGTTGCTAATAATTGAGCTAAATGTCATTTATTTATGAATCATATCAATCAGCGTGTTGATTTCCCTCTCAACTGGACTGTATTTTGGTCAACCTATATTGGTCATAATGTTTTCATACTCAGGATTAAAAAAAAATAAAAAATGAAAAAGCCAAGTGGAATTTTTAAATCTTACCAGATTGGCTTTATTATTTATTTTGAATTGAAAGATTGTCATTAGTCTGTAAACCTTTTGTTCTTTCTCCAGCTAATGTCCACTTCTTATGTTAAACAGCACTGTTTTGTTTACAGGAGCTCACCTCCCTGTTCCCCCATGTAGGCCCAGCACCCTGTTGCTCCTCTCTCCCTCTCTCTTTTCTTGTATCAGGCCGCTTGATTCCGGGAAGTGGTTTCATTCACATGCAAATCCTACCAGAACACCATCATTCACGCTGCTAATTACACCAATGTTGGGACGCTGACTTGCTGACATCACTGTGGGATATTAGCATTCAGGGAGGAGAGGGGCCTTCCTCCTGTGTGTGTGTGTGTGTGTGTGTGTGTGTGTGTGTGTGTGTGTGTGTGTGTGTGTGTGTGTGTGTGTGTGTGTGTGTGTGTGTGTGTGTTTTAAGTCAAGTGTCAAGCAGCGCTCCTTTGACAGGATATGGCAACTCTGTCGTGCTTTAAAATACAGGGGGTTTGGATTTTTTTTTTCACACAAAATAAATACTTGACTCTCGCTTTCCAGCTTTTCTGCTATTTGTTCTTTGTAGATAACAGTGAAAAATCCTTATTCGACTCAAAGTATTTTAATAAAAAAATACAATATAGCCTCATGCTTACCCAAATGATTTGCTAGGATTTTCAAGATTTGATGGTCTTGCTATAAGAACAGAGTACCTTAGTTTTTCCCCTTTGCAAAAAAACTTCCCTGTTATTCTGACTTCCATATTTCTTTCAAAAACTCGAAAAAAGTATGAACTGTCTATGATCTTCTTAAGCACTGCGAGCCTGTCCCTTAGCTTCATAGTTCCATGCACTTTATTTTGAAGGCTGTAACCGGAAGTCTTCATGTTATTTGTACGCGCTTGACGCTAGTGAAGGGTTAAAGCGCCGCTGTTCAGTGGGTCAGCAGCAGCGAGCGGAGCAGCTCCAGCGCTCTGTGTATTTACGCACCGAGAGTTCGCACGGATCTTCACTCAGACTCACTCCGGGCTTTCTTCCCCCCCTCTCTTCATTTGGATTTTATAATATTTCGGTGGACTCTGCTCTGCTTTCTGTTTTGGAACTGTGAAGAAGGATTCTGATTTTCCAACACTTTTAGTTGGCTTTTCGTTCACGCTTTCTCCTCATTCGCTGAACTCCTGACTGTGTTTGCGGATAACAGGGGTCTGACAAAAAAAAAAAAAGGCTTTTAAAGGGAGGGGGTGACTGTAGCAGAGGGGTGCAGACACCACGCAGCGGGTGAGAGGAGGGTGTTTTCGTGGCAAAAGCTTTCGCCTTTGGGAGTTTTGTGACAAATTCCGCAATGAGGAAGACTCGTTTTCAAACCCGCAACACCACAAGCAGCTCCGAACTCAGGGCTATGGCTCTCCTGCGCAGCAGTTTGTAAGAGGGTAAGCAGATGATTTACTGTTTGTGTTTGGGTCGGATTAGGGGCCGTTTTGTTTACGTTTCTTTACGATCCAATCCTTTGGGATTGAAGTAGGCTATACCATTTTCTATTTAAATCCATGACTTAAACCTCGGAGCCTCTTTCTGAAACATGCGCGTAAAGAAGTCCTGAAGGACAGATATTAAAGCCAACTTTTTGATTCAAAGTGGGAGGGGTCTTTTATTGTTTTGCATTTTTCAAGATTTCAACCTTTATTTGAATACTTAAAAGGGGGAGTTGTTGTAGGCCCTATGCTTTCCCTGCAGAGACGTGTTCTCATCGGGTTTTATCCCCCACCCCACCCCCTGTAGCGCAATGGTCAAGCTACTGTGCGCTCTGCAGCCACAAACTCTTTGTTGGGATTCTCCGTGTCATATGGGCATCAGTTTGCCTGTAAATGATCAGATACATAATTAGGCCTCTGTTAAAAAAAACTCCAATTACTTTCCCATTAAGTCAACCTGTTTCATGGCGTATTCTCCACTCAAGATTCAAATCCTCCTGCGTTGAAACTCTTAATATGTACTTTACGTTTTCTGCAAACTGCATCGAGAACAAGCGGCACTGATTGTTTAACTATCCTAGTTATATTAAGAAGAACATTCAAGACCAAATGCAGGCTAATTGAGCCGTTTAGGGGGGCTACTTTTTGTCTGTGCAAGGGTCACTGGATTAGCACATGAATGGACTGACGGTGGAGTGATGAATAATGTCGCCTCAGCAGCTGGCTGCAGTATCATTGGACTCCTGCATAGGTCTGAGAGCAGCCCAACGATGCAATGAACTGACAGAAGCTTAAATGTCAAATCAGCATTATTCCTGATATTCGAAAGTATCTTTGCATTAAGCCTTGCATTAGTTGATGTTTAATTCCCTTCTGAGACTTTAAAAGAAAAGTCAACATCATTTTCAAATAAAACTCCTCAAATGAGTGATGTCTTTGTAGAGTTAAATGTATCTCCTGAATTATACATCATGAGCTTGTAGAGGGAAACTCTTAAACCCTTCTGTATGTCTTTATTTTAGAAATGTCTGGCGATGATCTGTAACCGGTCTCTTGAGTAGGCCTATACATCCGAAATATGTGTGGAGGTAGTCCTAGAGTCTGGTCTTTAACATTCCTATTTTCCCATCCAGAGTAGTGTCACTTTATGTAACAAGTCGACAGTGAATTAGTAAACCCTTAATAAGTAAAGGGACCACTGTGTGCTGTAGCCTAAAGAAAAAAGCCCAGTCTTGAAATCTATTTAAAAAGTCTTGTCAAGTGCTTTCACTTATGCACAAAAGTCCTGAAATCGTAATTTTTCAGGATGAGATGCATGTGTGAACGCAAACAGCTGAATTTGTTTACTCTGACTTCAGCTAGATTTTTTCCTACCAGCCTCTGGTTAGTTTTCCGTGTGATTTTGGGGTGAGTCCATGTGAGAACAGAGCAATAAATATTCAGGAAAATTCACAGCCATGAAGTAATGACGTCTATATCCTGTGATGGTGCAGAATCATAGACTGTATGCACTTGTCTGGTGCAAACTCTGTGCATGTAATGAACTTGTTTCATTATAGTTCTGTTGCTGTTGTCACAGCGGGAATACTTCAAGCTACACAAAGCACAAATATACTTGGATATAATGGCAAAAATTGTCATCATAGCGTCAGACTCTGTTACTTCATCTGCCACTTTCACACAATGAACTGCCCCTTGAGCCTAAATTTTACCCCCCAGCTTTAGGGTTTGACATATGCTTTATGTTTAAGTGTTTTTAAGTAATTCAAGGTCATTCATCTGCGGGCATTATCAGGTTTTTTTCAGGAATTTGAAAACTTCTTTCAAAGCTGTAGAGGATATTATAAAACCATCATGCCGCTTAACATCATATGTTTGATTCTTGGCATGCCCCTTTAAAAAAAAAAACAAATGTCATTGTTTACCAGCTCTTACAGGGGGACTATAACCATTAAGGTTGAGGATATAGAAGACCAGATCGTGTTGATAATAAAGCTGGAACTCAACTTTGTATAATTTGTTATGACAGGTGAATGCTGGCCTAATGTGTGTCCTCAGGAACATGCTGCATCTGGTTCATACTAATTGGCCACTAATGGAAAACATCTCTCTCGTGCCTGATTCTTGTCTTGGAACACCTCAAGCCATGTTTAACACGGATTAACTCCTAATTGCTCTGAAGTCAAAATGCAGCCTCATGTACGTTCTAATACTTTGTTTCCTTGTTTGTAGGTCATTTGTGAAAGGGAATTTTTTTTATTGTTGTTGAAACCCCTGAAAATAACAAATGTTTCAAGACACTGAGCCTCAAAATTCACTGACCTAACAAAAGGCTGTTTCAGAGGGGGAAAAAAAGTCTGTCCTCCTCTTCCCCTACTTCTTCCAGAGAAAACAAAAGCAGAAGCAGGAAAAAATAAGACAAGACTTGGCTGAAATATACTCCCAGCTGTTCTCTCTCCTGTGCTTTCCTCTCTAGTTATCCAGCTTTCACTTTTATGCATGCTGCCATTAAAAGATGGGATTTTAATCTGACCCTCTTCTAGTGATGCCATGGAAAAGCTACAGTGGTTTTGGGACCTGGTCAGGAATGAGTGAGAGACTGAGAATGGAGTTTCAAATGCTTCAAGGCCATACTTTCTTGACTGGCTCTGGAATAGGACTTTAATCAAATGCCTTTCTTGAGTTCTCTCTTTTGGTTTTGCAAAGATCATTTCTATGAGTGAAGCCATTCTTTTAAGCACATGTTCGAAGATGCAGGGAATTTGACCGAAGCTTTAAGAAAGGTTTTCTGGCCAAAAGCATGATACCCCGTTTCTGAAAATCTTGCAGCACTGACCTAAATCAGTGGAACCAAGTCATTGTTACTGTCATAGGTTCCTATCTGACCCTAGTTAAGCATTAGAACAACCTGTTACTTGGGTTACAGTGCTCAACTAGAAAAGCGGGGCGATGATAATTAACCCAAAACGGTTAATCATTGTCCATTGACATCATGGTCGCAGTATTACTACCTAACAAAATACCCCCCAGGTCTTGACAAACTCCACACTCTGACCGACCAATGAAACATCAGCATTTACATCTCCAGGGGATGAAAGGACAGTCACATTTAAATTATAAAGAACAGGCCTTTCAACTTCCTTCTCTTTACTTCAAAGTTATTTATAAGGCATTGGTGATGCACTCAACCTGCATTACCAAAGTCCCCCGAATCTCTCCTAATTGAAATCATGTAGATTACAAGGGGGAAACTCTGGGATTAAGTTTCAGTTGAAAGGAAATCCCAGGCATGTGCATGAAGCGTGTTGTAAATCAGGAGGGCTGGGGGGGGCTGGGGGCTGGGGGGGGGGGGTGGGGACAGAAGGAGCAACAAGCCCCCTAAAGGTCTACACTACACAGTGCTGGTATTGGCAGATCAGATGTTTGTGAAGAAGGTCATCAACACATTTTGATTGATAGATTTAGTCAGTGAGGAGCGTTTCCCCAAAGGTCACAAGTTTCTCTGCATCAGGATTTGAACTCGGCCAAGACTGGATAGTCAGGAGCATTAGTATGTGTCCTCTCGGAAGGAATGTGGTGTGTAATGCTTTCACTCAAGCTCTGGCTATTTGTATACCCTTATCTCCATGAGACCCTACTCACCCAAAGGCAGAAATAACTTCTATCACTGAGCAGCATGTCTCCTGAATGGAAGAGGTGTCCATATATGCTTAATTATTTTTTGTCTTCACCTTCACTTCTTTTGTTTTCACTCTCAATCATCATCCTTGCTATAAAGTGATCATCCCCCCTAAATAAGTAATGAGAGTGAAGTTGCTGGGCTGTAATGAGGCAGGCTGAGTTGCCCCTGGCTATATCATTGTGCCGCTGGGACAGGGATTCGCCAAACACCAGCGGACCTGCATGACAGCTGCTTGATGACTTTCTCTGCCTGAGCTGCATTTCTGCTGTGATTATCATACGTATCAATATTTATATTCTACCCACGTTATGTGGGTTTTTCTGGAGTCAGCATGTGCAGCCTGTGGCTTGCACTTTGACAATGTCATCAGAAGGGGTAGAGTCTGCCTCCCTGCTTGAGATTCTATTCAAAGTTAGACCTGGCAGTGATAAGCAGTAAGGAATCCAAAGTGTTGACTGAGATTTCGTCCCACTCCAGACCTATATTTTCTCACATCTTCTTTTTTAACGATAACACGCTGCTGCATGTCAGTGGGATGTTTTTACTTGGAGATTCCCAGGAAGTTCCAAAGCATTTCCGATATCCTTTCCATCACCAAAATCAATCAGTGCTAAGCCAAGCAGACAGAAGTGCTTTGTCAATCTAGACTCAACCTGTGGACAGAAAGGGCTCCATTGAACGAGAGACAAGGTGAGACTTGGCCAGCTCTCCACATGGCGCTGTCTGCGCTCAAAACTCTTTACACCAACAGATCCTCAGCCAAGCAAGCTGTCAGTCTGTCAAGGAGTGTCCTGAGTGTCCTTAAGCTGCTCCGTAGGGCTCTCAGTCAGACAGGCAGGCGTCCGTCTGGGAAGGTAATTGGATTGTCTCCTTGGTTTGGCTGCCTGAGGGGGCAGCAAGGGTTAGTGGGATACGACCTTCTGGCCAATGACAGCTTCCTTCTCATGCAGGCACTTAGAGCTGTCAAGGACACATGGATCTGTATGTGAGCAGTGTCTTCTCCCTTTTTATCCAATATAGAGACACTGAAGGTTGGCTGTATATTCACATTCATCCATGCACTCTGGTTTCCAAACAACATGCTGTTCTGCTTTTTTGCGAGATGTCTCACATGATAGTTGTCAGTCTCTTAGGGGTTAAATTTGACAGTTAATGTCAATAATTTGCAATACAACACTCAATAGTCTTTTAAGGCTACAACGATGAACGAGAAGCTAGCAGAATGAGTGTTTGTATTAAACACTACCAAACACTTTTTTTTAAAGAGTTGTATTAGTTTGATACTTGCCACTTTGTAACTGTGTCGGTCCACTTGACTAATGACACTGAAGCACTCTAAGCATCTGCTAGTGTTTCTGTCTAACCTTGTACACAGGAACGTTTGTGTGAATACAGCCTGGCTTGCACTTTAGTGTGTTCATACAGACTGCTTTCCATCACTGTCATTGGCTGTATTCTGCTGATTTCCATCGGCTGTTTGTGATTATATCCTTGTTCAGTGTATCCCAGAGGATAATTGAGCATTGTTTGTGGTACCCTCTTTCCACTGAGAGCTGCAGTGGGAATCCTTGACCTTTAAACTGTGTGATGTTCACATCCTTTATGTGAAGAAGGCCTGCAAACATGCACAGACTCCATGTCATTTTGAGTCAAAGTCAAGAGTTTCATGAGGTTTTTATCTCGACAGGAAACCTTAGCTACAGTAAAGTAGCATGGTTAAGACATTTTTGTATCTTTACAGGTTGTCAAAGGTAACCTTTCTCTGATTAATGGAAGGCTGAATACATGTTATCTTGTTTGTTCTGAACCCTATCTCCCAAATGTAAATCTATTTACTCCGTGATGTTTTCACCCCAGAGGTGGTTTATATTCTGAGGCAACATTAGCTGAAATGAAGAAAAGTTACTGTCAAATCAAAAATCATACTTCAACAGGATCGTACACATGGCGAACTGAACCCTGCTTTAATTCATCTGAATCCGATGCATGCTACATCAGCTTGACAGAGTGTGTTTTTTTGTGTGTCCATTGCAGGAAGATCTGTGTGCACTGTAAGTGTCGTCGTGAGGAGCATGCAGTGACAGCCATGCCTGTAGAGATGGAGAAGACTGTCACCAAGCTGATGTATGACTTCCAGAGGAACTCGACCTCAGATGACGACTCAGGCTGTGCGCTAGAGGAGTACGCCTGGGTACCTCCGGGACTTAAACCTGAACAGGTATTACCATATTATACTCTTACACTCAGCCACACCACATTCAATCTGAACAGCAAAAACTGAGCTCTATAGCACTTTGGAACTCTCTTAATCAAATGACGATTTGAGCCTTGATAAAACTACAACTTACAACTAATAAGGTGTTTTTGATTTAACCACCCGAACCGCAAGACAGACATTGCAATGTTCAGATGTACATGATTCAAACACCTGGAGAAATACAATGTTATCGTTATTAAGTCATGATCATTGCCTAACCATGAGAGAAAATGTGTTGCAATGATTTGAAAAGACAAACAGTGTGTGAAATTTTCTACATTCATGGTGTAACCTGGGTTCAATGTGAGTATAGTTTTACACCTCGTACCAATTTTGTGCAACTGTTAGGTTGTATCTAATAGTATTATAGCTAGCTGGTTTTGCAAGCTAAAAGATATTAAGGATTGTGTGCCTCCAGCAGTAAAAAGAATCTTCACCTAAAAAACATGTTAACAGTAGGTTTCACTGCCCTTGAGACGGATAATCTTCACCTGTGTGAACACATTAAATGGCCCCATGCATTTCGATTAAATCCGATTTTACAGTACTCCGCTCAGCCCTCGGTGGGAACATGTGGGAGGGTTTCCAGGACAAAAGAAGTGTTTATGGGGGCTGGTTTCATTTTGTTGATGAGCTGAGGACAATGAACCGGTCAATATAATATTGGCACAGCTCCCAGGTTTTCACCTCCGAGGACCGAGCGCTGCTTCTTTTTTTTTTTTTCATTCCCCTCCAGGGCCACACATCCAACCCTGAAGTCAATTAGGCTCCCATCCAGAGGTGATATGGTCCCATGAACACTAAAGCCATTAAGAAGACTGGACTGTGCAGCATGGCACAAACACAAGCCTGAACAACATTGATAGAACATGTTATGTAGTGTACTCTTGTAAACTCTTTCTTATTTTTTTTATTTTTTACAACTAAGAACATTTGTTTATTCCCTATATGAAAAATGTCTGCAGTGATAATATTATTTTATTTCCACAACTTTACTTCCAAGTCATCCAAGCTGTGGAAACATTTTGTGTGACCGGCTGCAGTGGAGCGGATGTACTCCTGATGTGGGGCTTTTTTTTTACCACCAGTTCTTCCTCTGCATGAGGAAAAGACAGAGTGAGAATAAAGGAAGATTGTAAACACAAAAGCTAATCTCCAGGATCTAAACTGTGGGTTTAGGTTTCCCCCCGCAGGGAGTCAGTTTTGTGTATGAGTCTGCTGTTCAGCCAGCAGCGGTGTAAAGTCACTATTCTGTAACCAAAGATTGCAGACCAGGACTGCTGTATTCAGTGAGATATATCTGAAGATTATGACGGATAACATACTATCCTCCTGTGTGTTTGCATTCGTGTCGGCAGTCTCTATAAATACAGAGTCAGTAATAAATGATGGATTTTTATCACCAAACACAGCCATTACATAGTGAGTTCACGATTTTATGAAGATGCAAAGCTGCCAATATTCTCTCCCCTACTGTCTCCTCTTGCTCTCTTCTCTCCATCCTTCTGAAATACAATTCTTGCATGTTGCCAAGTTACAGCTTGTCAAGGCCAAGTATGTCACTCAGCAACAGCCAGTAACTGATTTTTTTTAGACTCCTTAACCAATCACAAAGCACGAGATGCACTCTAATGTGCAGACTCTGCTTAGCATTTACCAAGATCTGATTTTAATTTGCAGTCGAACATGAAGTATTCTGCTTACATGTGGGTTAGTTGAATAGCAATTAAGTTTGAGGTCATTCATGCAAGCTTGAGGTCTTTGAGGCCCTGTGGATAAAATACCTTTCAAACAACAAAGGGCCAAACTGAAAGGGCTGGTACAAGTGGAACCCGAGGCTGGTTCCACCTGCACCAAAATGGACTATTTAACCCCTCCCCATCTGAGTTCAATGATTATGAAAACCTTCAGACCCTGACCATATTACAGCCAGCAGCTTTGAATAAGAGAGGAGTTAAAAGAGATTGGGAGTTACATTGAGCACTTTTCACAGAAAGATAATTGTGTAGCCATGCTGGCAATGTGGCTAAAGAGATGGAAAGTTTGAATAAACAGTCATGAACAGGAGAGGATAAATCCTGCAGAGCTCGGTAATCCATCTGACTTCCCATCAAGCACAATCACAAGATTAAAAAAATAAACATTAGCCAATGTTTCCATGCCAACACACCAACCTATGTTGTTTAGAAGAAGAAAAATATACCTGCTTAGAATCAGCCACTAATCAGTGATGTTGCATTTATGTTAACTCGGCTATACCTGAAAAGAATCTCACAGATCTGCTAGTTTAGCTAAGGGCGATTTTGTTAAATCACAGTTGCAGTGAAATATGATATATATGTTTAAAGATATATATATCCTATATGTATTGAACTGCATTTGAAATAGCTTTCACAATTGGGTGTGAGTGAGACGAAAAGGACAAAGAATGAAAACGCAGCCATTGAATCTGCTCAACACTTCACTATGAAAACAGCGTCTTTCCCACCATGTTTGGCTGTAATGAGCAGTGTTTTCTCTACAATATAATATCTGTGTCCACTAACCACTGTAAAGTGGCTCGTTGAGAGAATGTTAGGAGTGGTGCCTGGTGGTGTCTTTTCCTCTGGCTCTCTGGCCATTAACAGCAATAGAAACCAGCTGTGTGGAGTGATCACGCTTGTCACTCAGTTGTGAAGTCCTACCATTTGCTTTAGGCTTTAAAAACACTCCTCTCAGTACAGTACGAACTCCTGCCCTGTCTTTAGCTTCATCTGCTTTCGATTACAGTTATTATCACAAGCTGCTCCTTTTGGCTCTCTCTGCATCTGCGTCAATTATATGTGTGTGTGTGTAAGTGTAGCGTGTATTTGTGTAAGTCTGTGTTTGTGTGTGTCTGTATTAGTGCATGTCTCAGATGTTGTGTTTTCCTTGGGGCAATGTGCCTTTCACCTACAGACTGTAACCCTGATGTTGTAATATGCATGTTCTGCAATTTATCATTAGCAGTGTGTGTGTGTGTGTGTGTGTGTGTGTGTGTGTGTGTGTGTGTGGGGGGGGGGGGGAGGTGGGTATTTTAAAGCATGTGCATATAGTCGCTGTGTGATTTATCAGTGCCGGACCACAGCCAGTCCTTCATTGACTAACCTGAGATGCCCCTGGCGTCCCGTGCTGTGTTGCTTGACATGGATCCTGCGTCGCTTGCCAACACTAGTAAGCCAACAAAAACAAGGCAAAAGGAAATAGGTCACACCTAAAGCCAGGGGCTGGGGCTGTTACTTCAGAAACAACCAACATGGGTCCGTAAAGGCTGTGAGGAGAAACTCATCATGTAGAAATGAATACACACAGATTTAGGAAAGTTGCACCTAAATGTATTAGAATATTGGGGTGTTGATGACCTAGCAGTTGGTTCACACCTCGTGTACGGAGGCTACAGTGGCCCCGGTTCAAGTCCGACCTGTGGCTCCTTTGATAGACTGGGTGTTATTTTTCAAGGACAAACCTGATGACTTCCAGTCAGTAGATCCATTTAGTAGACATATAAGTCATTTAGATTGAAGCCACCCAGTCAGCTGGTATCGATCATGTTGAGTCTGTCGTACATCCCAAGTATTCTGTTACGTGTTTTGCTATTTTTGATTCTTCTTGTCTTGCTCTCTTTTCTACTTTTACTGTTTTCATCGTCAATATTTTATTGTGTCTGCATTCCTTTCCCCACTACTTGCCTTTTCCTTTCAACCTCTGTCCTCAAATCTCACTTTAAACCCTGCAGCCTTTGCAATCCCCCCCCCCCCCCACCACCCAATCACATTCATATATGGCTTCCTGACCTCTGTAATACCCCGGCCTCCTGTTACTGTGTAATAAAAAAGACCACACTAAATAACACTGAGATGACATTCATTGTCTGCTGCTGTAATGTAAAGAATGTCCAAGTAATTTGGAATGGTCAGATTAGCATTAATCCTGCGGCTGCACACATGCACATGCACTGTTACATGCATACCAGTTAATCACTTTTTTGTCCATTCATGTGTGTGAGTGTGTGTGACAGGTCAGTAATACATTCTCATGTCAATGGGCAAAGATGGAGAGGTGAGGTTCCATTAAGTCGCCGCTGGTGGGCCATAAATCAAAGTGATTTTAAGTGTGTCTGTGTCTGTGTGTATTTGTGTGTTTTGGCAACTCCCTATTGTAGATCATGTATTTTTCTTTTCACATATTTGAACCTCTTGGTGCTGAAATGATTAATTGACATGGTTTAGATTAATCCAAAAACAATACCAATAATCTTAAATTTCAGCTGCTCTTGATGGGATTTGGGGAACCTTGATTTCTTTTCTCTGATTTATATCATTATAAACTGTATCAGTTAAGTAGGATTCAAAAGCTCGAGTAATAAATATTATATCTGGTTGCAGCCGGAGTGTTTTTCAGGTTGGTCCACTGGTTTACGTGTTTACAGGTATGTTGCTGTTCCTCATTCCTCTCCTTGCTTCTGTTTCTCCCTCAGGTTCATCAGTACTACAGCTCCCTGCCTGAGGACAAGGTGCCCTACGTGAACAGCCCAGGAGAGAAGTACCGCATCAAACAGCTGCTCCATCAGCTCCCACCGCACGACAATGAGGTGAGAGTCCAAACTGACCCCATCCCCCACCTCCATTTATCCATCCACCTCTCCCTCCCTCCTCCCATCCTTCAGGGCTATGCCCAGATAAAAGTATAGAGAGAGAGAGAGGAGGAGACAGTCAAGAAAAATGGAGTCTGTATTCTTACTATAAAAGCATGAATTAAATAGCAAGGTGCTTAAGTTTGAAGTTGCCTATTCGTGTTTTTTACATGATTAATAAATGACCTTAATAAATGAAGTGTGATCACTTAATTGGGACACTTTAGCACCTCATACTGGACTTTATAACCAGACTGAGGGGCCAACTTGTTTCCTCACAAAAGATTATAAATGTTTTTGTGGATCCAGATTGCTAAATGGTTAACGTATAACCAGGTGTAACAAGGTGTAAAATCTACTAATCATTTCTGAATCAATCTCTCTCTCTTCCCTTCTTCCCTGTCTACCTCGCAATCGTCACATTTTTAAAAATAAGGCTGAAATAAAATGTTCTAATAAAACGCTTTCCATAAAAAATAGTCTGTCAATTGAGAAAATGTTCTTTCTTTCTCTAAGTCCACTTACAACAACCTGCGTATTGAACTCATCCTCACTCTTTGTGTTACTTGTTATGAAGGGTAGTTTGCTAGATTTCAATTTTCAATTCACCTTGAATCAACATGATCAGTAATTCAGAGGTCTGAAAGCAGGATATTTCGTCAGTGTTTTTTTTAAAGGATATTGATGTGCTTTTTGTTGTTTTACTTCTTGTTCCTGCTGCACAGGTGGAGCTTAACCTGTTTTGTTGGAATTGAAAATGATTGGAGAAAATGTAAAGTTGATGCGAAAATGATATCCAGGGGTTTTCATGCTTCTTTGTTAAAATAACCAGGAAACCTTTGGTCTAAAATTACACACACATCTTAACATGTGACAAAAATCACATATAGATCCGAATCAAATTGCTTTCACAATAGTATTAACTTAAGATAAGATAAGTGCTCTTTTTCATTGTGGCAATAAAAACAAGATTTGACAGAAGCATCAATGAGAAACTGATTTTTTTGAAAAAGGCAACAAGCTTCCTCTTTATATTATTTCATAACATGTCCTTTGAAATATATAAGTTGTGAATAAAGCGTGTGTGTGTTTGTGTGTGTAGGTACGCTACTGCAACAGCCTGGATGACGAGGAGAAGCGAGAACTGAAGATCTTCAGCAACCAACGGAAACGGGACAACCTGGGCCGCGGAAATGTCCGACCGTTCCCCCTGACGATGACGGGAGCAATTTGCGAACAGGTAGCTGACAGAAAGACAAAACATTTTTTTTCGTCTCCCAACAGGCAAGACATATGAAAAGCTCAAAGACGATCTGAAAAGTGTCCCATTGGTTTCACTCCTAAATGTCATTCCTGCATCGATTCCCGTGACATGAGTGTGTTAAGAGTGACAAGAGCAAAGGTGTGTCATGTGGATAGCAGAATGAAAGCAATGAATCATGAGGCCGACATTCTGCACGGCCTGCTGGCATTTCAGCTCTTTGTTGTGATGTATGAGAGGGGCTTTATGTTGAAGTATGAAGTATGACAGGGCGGTGGCTTTCTTTTATTGCCATGTTGTGATGTTGTCAATCTCTGTTCTTCAGAGGATGCTGAAGTGGTGTACGTTTCATTTTTCCCTCTGCTGTTACATCTGTCAGACTCAAACCATTACCTCTCATAATACCCAGAGAACTGTCAATCTTTGAAATATCTTATAGCACTGTCCACTTTGGGAATGAATATTTCATGTATGGTCTACAATTGTTCTTGTGGGACGACAAAAAGCAACGGAGAGTGTTCTGTTAAATGAGCTAGCGCACTTAAGCATCCGCCAGCCATTTGTGCCCGTTTTTACATCAGGCTCAGGCAAATCAGAGCTACACTCTGTTGTGTGGCCGCCTAAGGTGTGTACATGCTTTACAGCTTGTGTTTCTCATTCTCTGAGCAGACGCACATCTAAAACACAAGTACATGAGGGAGCAGATTGTTGAGGGAGTGTGTATCGATTGAGTTCCCCACCCCCACTCCTTGGATCTGTAGGCTGTGTGCCAGTTAGATAACCTGCTTGTAACTCTCCCTCTGCCTCCTTCTTTCCCACCACCTTTAAATCCCTGACCTGTCCCCGTCTCCATAGCTCTACCTTTGTTTATCATTCAGGCTCCATACTCTTACACCTCCATGCCGATCTCGTTACCACTTTCTTTCATCCTCCAATATGTGAATCAGTTTTGATTTCTTCCCTTTCACCCATCAGTGTCCTCAAGCAGCTGACCATACAAACACAACTTTGCACTCTCAGTTTGAACCAGTTTACGTGTGAAGTTGTGTCAAATACCAGAGATGCATCAAGCTGATACACTGCATCAATATCAGCACAGATACTGAGCTTACTTAATGTCCCATGGAAATGGTCACTTGAACTCCCTGATAAACTCTCACTTCCTTGAAAACTGCATCTTCAATGGTCGTCGTCTCCTGTTAAACTGAAACTGCTAGTTTATGAATCACTTTAATCATTTAAATATTCACGAGGTCACGCTTCCTGTTTGCACAGATTTTTTGTTTTCTTGAATACATTTTACAGTAAACAGATTTTCTGAATATCATTAACAGGATTGTGCTCTTTTCTTAAAATCAAGACTGCTGTAGCTGAACTTATAGCTCAATGGTTTAATACCTGACATTCTCATGTCTCACCACAATAATCGGTTCATACTGAAATGACTTGACGCCAATGAGGTGGTGATACCATACCATAATACAAGATGGTTTCCAATACATTCATTTTAATAAATATTCCTCACAGGGTTCTTAGTGTATGCCAAAGAACATGAGACATTCCTTGCTCATTTAATTTGGAAGAAAATACTTTTTTTCCAGTCTTTAATGGTATTTACTAACAAACACAAAATGACCATTGTAAAACTAGGTTTACCCATACAAGGAATTTGTCTTGGTGTCTTTGTGCAAAAACGATGCACACATGAGTAGAATAACGTGCAAAGAAATGAAACAGCTGTACTCCTACTGCCAGAGGTCTTTAAAAGAATAAGATAAAAACATAATGTGCAAAAAAGAGCAACTTTTCTTTACAGTCATTGTAAAAAGGTTGAAGTTGTTCTTGATAAGTGTCACTTAAAAGAATCCTGGTTTGAGTGTTATACAATGCATTAAAGGTTCACCACCTAAGTGCCTTTGTTGCCAGATGCATTTGTTAAACCTAAAAATGAGGACAGGTACAACAATGGGACCTCTATTGGTAGAGAAAAGTGGAAGCAAAATATTAACAAACACTGATAGAATTTGTGTGGCTATACCCATGTTCTCATAGGCCTCTCTTCTTCTTCTTCTCCCTCTTCTATAACCTTTTTTAGTGTGGAGGTCAGATAAATGGCGGCGACATTGCCGTGTTTGCGTCACGGGCCGGCCACGGCGTGTGTTGGCATCCGGCCTGCTTTGTGTGCAGCATCTGCAATGAGCTCCTGGTCGACCTCATCTACTTCTACCAGGACGGGAAGATCTTCTGTGGCAGGCACCATGCTGAGAGGCTGAAGCCACGCTGCACCGCCTGTGATGAGGTACACGCACGCCACATGCACACACGATGCCTTCACACAGGTGATCATGCATGTACTTGGACATACTGTGCAGCTTTCATTTAACATGCATGAGTATGAAGACACCAGGCAAACAGGCTTCCCAATACACACTGTCATAGTTTCACACATATATTCCTCCCGTCTAATGGGGTCAGCTCTCAGTATCCTGATCCCCTAACCATTAGCTCTGACTTACTCTCTCTGCAAATGAGGACAAGGACACAGTTAGTACTTAAAAAGCACCCTGGTGTTTTAACAGCAGTGTAATTAAAAGTAAATGCACCATCTCTCCACATACATCAGCCTCCCACACCAGTCAGTGACAAAGAGGATGATCTAAGAGTACTAAGCTGGAGAGCAGATAGCGGTACATATGGAGGGAGAGCAAGGGCAAGCCGAGGCTTTGTCTTGTCATTCAGCGCACACTAATAACCCAACCAAGGTTTAACCTCTGAGGACCTGTGATAAACTATACTCTCTCTCCCGTCTTTTTCTTTCTTAGGTCATCCTGGCAGATGAGTGCACTGAAGCGGAGGGGCGTCACTGGCACATGAAGCACTTCTGCTGTTTTGAGTGCGAGACCGTGCTGGGGGGCCAGCGCTACATCATGAAAGAGGGGCGGCCCTACTGCTGCTCCTGCTTCGAGTCACTCTACGCGGAGTACTGCGACTCCTGCGGGGAACATATTGGTATGTTGCACAATCCCTTTGCATCTATCACTGTTTGATAAACACTGCATTAATCACTATCGACAGGTCATCCAAAGAAACCTATAAAGAAAAGAAATAGAAAACTATACTTGGATACAAGGAAGGGAAGTTAGGGCCTCTTTAAGGAGGTTGAAAAGAATGACCTAATTTTTTCAAAGCAATAACACAGGGGAGAAAATGGATTCTGTGGAAAAGATGTGGCCTGGTTTCTAGAAGTGTATCACTAACTGATGTTACTAATTGTTTGAGGTTTGAGGTAACGGCACATAACACAGGGTCACAGTGCACAGAAGTAAATGCTGTAAATAAAGTGCAACCTGAAACTACATTTAATGCTGTTTTAATCTCTGAATCTGTTTTTATTTTCGGATGCGCCATGTCTCAGTTAAAAACAAATTTAAGCGTCTTAAAGTTAATTGTTTTGGGAAAAGCAACAGAGGGAAGAAACTGGGTTATTTTCCAGAGAAAAAAACTTTCATATTAGCACCTCTTGGCCTCCTGCCACCTCCTGTGAACATTTCTGCGTGTGGGTACATATTTGTGCATACCCACAGATACGTCCAGGTGTGATTCTGGCACATACCTCTCAACAAATTTGCCCTGTAATTATTTGTCAGACAGGATACAGAGAAGTATTTGGCTTCACAAACACAACTGATTATTAATTGAAACCATCAGAAATCATGCTACATCCAGCTGGCAGCCATTAGTAAATAGTTGGTTTTCATTTCCCACTGCAACAACTGCAGGCACGCTGAAAATGTAATGTGTTTATACAATGCTGGGAAAGCTCCATAATGAGTTCCCCCTCTAACACAGTTACTTTACAGCCTCCAGCTCTTTATTCTCACTCAGCACGCAATTCATATTCTGCTGTTTTCACTTAGAACAGCATTTTTAATAAAGACAATAAGATATTTAATTTCATGCACTTTGATAAAGACATGTTGCTTCTACTTTTCTTGTGCATTTTTACTCTCACAGTCTAATTTGCCATCAACCTCAAGATGAATGTGTTGTTTCCTTCCTGCAGGCATTGACCAAGGCCAGATGACATATGACGGGCAGCACTGGCATGCCACAGAGGGCTGCTTCTGCTGCGCTCGCTGCAAGCGCTCTCTATTGGGTCGGCCTTTCTTGCCCAAGCAGGGCCAAATATTCTGCTCGCGCTCCTGCAGTCTGGGGGAGGAACCTAACGGCTCCGACTCCTCTGATTCAGCCTTCCAAAGCGCTCGCTCCACCAGAGAGTCCAGACGCAGCTCCAAGACTGGAAAGACTGGAGGATGTGGAGTGGGTGGAGTGCAGTCTGAGAGATTTTCAGGAGAGGTGGACCCACTGTCTTTACAAATGGATCTTCTGAGTCTCTCCAGCCAAACGCCAAGTTTGACTCGTGAGCCACCTGCTTGGCAGGGCCAAGAGCAAGCAGGTGATGGCTATAATTATCAATCCCAGTCCAACCCAACTGCCAACCCCACCCCTCTGCAGCTCCTCAGCCAGTGCAATGTCAGGACAACCTATAACCCCTCCAGCTCTGGACAGAGTAATCACCAGCAAGATCACAGGATCAAGGACCACGGAGGCTTGAAGAGACCACCCATCTCAGCTATGAAGGGACACTCGCTCAATGAGACGTGGTTCCAACAGCCAGCACCAGAGGAGTACTATCCACCCAAACTGAGGACCCAAAAGAGCTTCACTGAAGTGTCCCACTGTCCTCAGCAACACAACGGCTTCTCCTCGGACAAGCGCTCCATCAGTTTCCACGGCTTTCAGAGGGACAGAGATGTGGGGCTTCCAGCACCAGCCCAGGTGCCAAGAAGCAGGAACCCGATTAATGCACTTAACTTCACTGAGCAACTCACCCCTCTAGAGCAGACCCCAAGGGGATCCATGGAGTCCCTGGCCCTGTCCAATGCTACAGGTTGGTATTTTCTGCTTGATACTATTTCAGCTCGACCAAGAAAAGTTGTATTTTTCTGGCAATTTAGTGCTAGCTGTGACAAAAGTACCTTGTTTAACTCAATGAGTTGCTATTGAAGAAAATACAAAGTCAATGCTAAATTGAATTCTTTACCTCGACAGGAAACTCTGCAGAGGGAGGAGGAAAGCGCCAGGAGCATCTTTCTCGTTTCTCCATGCCAGACCTGAGCAAAGACTCTGGAATGAATATATCAGAAAAAAGTAACATGGGCACTCTTAACTCCTCCGAGCAGTTTCGTAGCTCTGAGTCCATTCACAGCCTCACTGCCGGTCAGCCCTACATGGAAATGGATCCTCCCAGGTCTTCCAAGTACCAAGTGCAGTTCTGCGACCCCCATGGCATGGCTGTGGGTATGACTCATTTACCACCTGGTTTCACCTTCCAAGAGGAGGATAGGGTGAGTTTGGTGAGCAGCGCGAATGCTGCTCGTTTGCCACCAATCAGTGAGCGCAGGATGGTTGCTGGAGGAGTCGGCGGAAGAGGATCAAATGTCAGACTAGATGCTCAGGAGGAGACTCCCCAGAGGCGCAGACACCACCATCGCTCCCGGAGGTCTCGTCGGTCTCGTTCAGAAAACGCTCTCAACTTGGTGGCAGAGCGGAGAGTGAGACCCCAAGAAAGACCGCAGCTGCGTGTCTGTGAGGACTACGATCGTTTCCCGCCCCCAAGGAGTGCCAGGGACCAGTTTGGTGTAGGAAGAGGAGGGGGAAGATACCAGCCCCAGCCCTTCAGGCAGTGTCCAAGAACCACCTCAGACCTGACCCTTCAGAACCCTGGGTCCAGCCGACGCAATGGTCTGAACCAATACTCCTGGGATGATTATGATGACGACGACTGGTGCTCCACCTGCTCGTCATCTTCCGAATCTGATGATGAAGGTTACTTTCTGGGTGAGCCAATCCCCAGACCCATCCAGCTTCGCTACCTCAGCAACCAGGAGCTGGTCCATAAGTACAACAACACAGGGATGGGAGGACCCAATCGCAATGGGCAGTTGCACACCCGAAAACGCAGAAAGAGCAAGAACTGCATAATCTCCTAACATTCTGACGCTTGGCACAGTTAATGACTCTTTGTTTAGCTTGTGTACGCAAACATCCTCCAACATCTGGAACAAGAAGTAAATAAAGCCTACAGTCCAATGATTCAGTATTGTTGAGTGTTGAATATCATGTAATTGAAAGTCTGTGATGAATAACAGTTGTTAAACAGTGACAAAGCAGCAGTGTTTGCATGTTATTTTTAATTTAAAGTTTTGGAATATCTGCAGTTTTAAGACTAACAGTTACATGCACAGTTCAATCAATTCCAAACAGTCATCGAAAACTGATGTGCAATTATTTTAAGATTTCACTTCTTTTCCATTAAGCAAATGCGCGTGTGAGGGTGTCTGTTTGATACAGTTTAGCTTTTTGATGCAATGTGATTTAGGTTAAGGATGTACTGTACTAATGTATTCAGTTCATAGTATGTACATAGATAAATGAATTAATAATTTCTCTTAAGTTAAGGAAGTCTGTGTAAATATGGTTGTAAATGAGGCCTCACATATTTTTATATTTTCTAATGGATAGAATTATGTATGTATTATATATCTATAATGTAGAGATAGACAATGGAAAACAAACGTATGCATGTTTTATTTGGCTGACCTGGTCCTGCATTCAGAATAAAGGAGTATTTCAGTGAGAACTTTGAGTGACAGCTGGTGTTTCTCTCCTGAGAGTGCAACGTGTGAACAAGTGTTGCATAAAGGTGAATGATTACCTACCAATCACCTTCTCCATCTGTTTAATGCATAAATGAATGACAATGTGGTGTAAAGGTTGATTATAAAGTCACCCTCCACTGGATTGTTTTACACAGATAGTAATTGGTGCTTTGACGCTCAAACACAAAGTGCTCAGTTGTCCTGAAAATGTGACTGAAGTTCTGGTTTACTCCATCAGCCTTTTGGCATTTAGGAAAACAAATGTTTGCAAGAGATTTAGTTATTAATATCTGGTGATGCTTTGTCTAATCATTTTTTGCCAGTATGTGGTCAACTCATGTCAACAAAAGTCCCAACCAGTTTACGTGTAGTAGAATGCAAATTATTCCTTCTCATGGTTGTGATATTCTCATGGTCAACAGAGGAGGAATCTGGACGAATTTGGTGATTTCTCAAACTTTCTTTAGAGCGAGAGGACAGAGCAAGTCAACTTTTCTTTGTTGTCCAGTGAAATTACATCAACATCTGCAATACACAAACAGAACTTTGCTAAATTTGTTTCACCATTTGAGAGCTATTGGCAAATGTTAGCTTACCAATACACTGAAATCTAATGTTTAACAATGAAAACATGGCTGACAATTATTAGCATGTTAGGATTCTCATTGTGAGCATGCCATGCTGATATTTATAGTCATCCGTTAAAGCTCAGCTGTTTCCAAATGCAGCTTCAGTTTGCAGTTAGCCTATCGGTAGCCACTTAGCATTTTCTACTTTAAAGAAACAAAACAAATCCTCCGCAAGTTTAGATCCTGTTTAGATATCGGCATGTACAGACAGTCAAGCAGATTGTGTTTGTGTCATACTGTAAATTGGATTGCCTGAAGTCCAGGTGGTCCAGGGATTAATGCTGCTAGCCCAACCCCCCCCCCAATCCACACACAAACACCCAAGTCTGAACAACAAGGTGTGTAAATGCCAATCTCTTGATAAGAGGTGTAGAATCACTAATGCTATTGGCATGATTGGCACATTAGTTTGTTTACTTAACCAACCTCATCTTTCCAAAACATGTGCTCCAGTTTTCAACCAGGGACTCTCGGATAACTCCCAGATGGAGAGGAGCAGAGTCCTCATTTAGTCGGGCATGATATAACAAAGCCAGCTGCATAAACATGTGAGATACGTTATTATAGCCTGCTTATGGCCGGGTCTGTAAGTGTGGACTTCCCCCTGCTTTTAGCAAGTCTTAAAGAAGCCTTCAGACGGTTAGTGACGTGAAATTCTGAATAGTTTCTGTACAATCATTGTCTCCATGTGCAATGAGGAGTCATACAGCAAAACACACACAAACGTCTGTCATCATTAATGTGGATATGATTGTCCTTGACACGAGTTTCCCTGACATCAACATCATCATGAACTTAGCACATATTAGCTTTTTCCTTTATTGGTCCCTTGGCAGGCCCTAACCCTAGCATGGGGTGACTCCATGTGTTTAATTAAAAGCAAATGGAGACCGTACAGTGAGGGGTAAAACAGATTGTATCCATATGCTTCCTGGGTGTGTCATATCCAACATGGTGGAGAGATAATCCTTGATTTGCATGGATGCCTCCAGTTGTGACAGTCATGCTGTCGGCCAAGTTGTAACTGCCACTAAATGAGATCAACGGGTGGTTACCGTAGGAACCTTTAGAATTACCTCAATCCATCAAGAGTTTATAGTTTGGTGGCGATGTGGAAGTCATTATGGGGAAGAGGCTTTTCATTTTGTTTTCCGATTATGTGGCGGTCAATGACACAAAGCTCCTTTTCTGTTCCTGGGTTCCAAATAAGTCATGTCTCCCTCCAGTACATGTAGACCTCTCAGGACATTTAAGGTCAAGGACATATTAAAATGAGTTCTAGTCTCAGCTTTATTCCTGCTTTGACATCTTTTTAAATTACTACTGGTGTAACTTTGCCAGATGAAAGGTAGGTTTGCAGTCTGCTTTGTTTTTACAGGCTTTTGTGTTGTAAAAGGGTTTTTTAATTTGTTTTAAAATCTTACCTTGAAGCTACCTACCTTTTTCTAAGGTCTTGAATTTGTATTTTGGACTGGAAAAGAAACTAACCCTTCAGACTGTTGGGAAGTTTTCAGAAACAATTCAGAAACCAGGAGGGTAAATCCTTTATAGTTCTGGAAAGCAGAATACCTAAACAAATGTAAAAAAAAAAACTGTCAAACTGTACTGTTGGTTTTAATGTTGCACAAACTAGTTTAGGATCCTGGCTATTTTTTCTAATGTTAATTGTGAATTGAATCACATTTTCCCCATCTGGTTTATTAAGGCCTGACAGAGCAGACAGAGTCTGGAGTCACACAGCCATCCTTTCATTAACTCTGAGGTATGCGTCTGCTCAGAATAAACAACAAGAAAATCAGGTGACATATAGACAAAGGTCTTTTCTATCTGCGAACCACACTCCCTAAATATACTGCTAGGATGAGATCGCCCCTCTGTGTGAGTAGCTGTCAAAAGTCATTAAGCTTGTGAAAATTGTTAAACATTTGGAAATGAATAAAACACAAATCATCACAGCACACCATGAAAAATAATTATATATTCATTGTGTTGTGAATTGGTATGCCCTTTATCGAACCCTGTGTGAATTTAATTATTGTAATTTAACAAAACCTAATTATAATAAGTTAAAAAAAAAAATTTAAACTGCCTTCATGCATAAATTTACCAAGTAGGCTACTCGTGTGTGGTAATCGTGTATTGAACTCAACTTTAGTTGGAAAATGTAGCAGTTTAATTAACAGCCACACATGTGTTAGGTGCCTGTTTGTGTGTATTAAGGCCCAGCTGTCATCAGTTAAAGTTGTTTGAGTTGTTTTGGAGACTCTAAAAGCCATAATTACTGGTCCTTAAAGGCAGAACGGCTGCAAATTACAGCTGCGCTCGGAGCAAACTAAAATAGCTTGATTCAATTATTTACAAGTGAAGAATTCCAATGGTGTGTTATCGCACATACAACCAGTATGCTTCTATAGCCACGAAAGTAGAAACAATTGCTCCCACTGCACACACACACACACACACACACACACACACACACACACACACACACACACACACACACACACACACACACACACACACACACACACACACACACACACACACACACACAACACACACACATACAAAGACTCGTGAACAGGAGATGCGTGACTGGACTGACTGAGGCTGTACCAGTGCTCTCCTCTCCTTCAGCCTCATCATGTGTGTTGAATTACCAGAGCAGACTGCACCAGAACAGTCAACAGAACTGAACAATTACAACTATTATAGTGTCCTTCTACAATGTTTAACTTCAACACATGAGGCAGAGTGGAACAAAAATATATTTCTTAACAGGGCCACATGTACAATATTTCAAATGCATTGTCAGCATTTAGGAGTTTCTATTCCCCTGGTTGTGAAATCCCCATATTATGATTCTCTATCCTCATAAATCCCGGATATTTTCTCTGCAGGGCACATTATCTGACTGAAAGGTCATGAGTGCAGCAGGATATCCCCCCCTACTTGAATGCTCACTCTCAGAATCCCCTCTGTTCAGTCTCACTGTCCCGTCTGAGAGGGTCGCTCCTCTGCTGAAGTGGATGTGTTAATATTATGTGACAGTAACCCGGCTGCCCATCTGCTACATGTAGCCTCTTGTCTTCTCTCCTGTTTTCTTCTTCTCCCCGCTGTCCATCTCCAATAGGTTCCCACTTTCTTTCTCCAAAACAACATCCCATACCCAAAATGAATAATCTCCAACAAGTTCCCTCCTGTTGCCATACAAGCAGCTCCAAATTGACTGAATAAAAAAAGGATAGAGAATAATAGTGAAGATGTCAAGCATTGCATTAGACTTGTAGATCTCGACTAAACCCACTAATCTGGAAATGCATTCTCATCCACTTAAGGTTGACCTTTGCCCTTCCTCTGGCTTCATCTGTGACCGGTCAACACCCCTTATCCGTGTCACCTCACAAACTAATCCCGCTTTCAATAGACTTGACTTCAAAGTTTTTTTTCATCAATTAAAAATAAATAATGATGACACACGCTCTGCACCATTAATTAGAGCTCATAATAAGTCCCCATGGGGACCCTCATTAGGCCTGGAGGTTGTTTTTCAGCGAGCAGTTAGAGGAAATAATAATTTATTTCCAGTGTGAGCTCAGTCTGACTCGTGGCCCTGGCGAAATGCTGCCAGGGTTGGTTTAGTTTGCGGCTCCAATGGCCCAAGGGGGAACCTCGCCATAATGGAGAGCGTCATGCTGGGTACCTCGATGTTGCACTGCCAGAGGCCTCCCTCTGGTTAATGATATCATCCCATTCCAACCCTCCGCACTGTGACTCATTAACAAGTTCAGATCCTGGGAGAGAGCCCATCTGTGTGCCACCTGTACGAAATCTTCAACTTTAGCAACATTTAATGCAGGACATCAATTAGATTTCTTTCAGTCTTTCCCCTCGTACACATCGCACTCTTTTACTTCTTTGCCTTCTGCTCTCTATCGTTCTCTGCCATCCTGCCGCGTCCCCTCCCTGTCCCGTTTGTTTCACAGAGATGATGGATGAAGGGCGACTTCAGCTGTAAATGAGGCAGAGAAGGTCTGCCATGTTGACTTCACAGTGATGTATTTTTCCAAGAAGTACTCCAAGACCTACAAATGATCATAACACTGGGGTTTATATGAAGGCAAAGTGGCCCTTTTTGTCATTTGCAGTTCTATTTGAATAGATTGAAGGTGTTTGTAGAAAGTTATACATATGTTAAGACAGCTTCATGGTTATCTGAAATAGCTTTAATACTGTGGGATCATCATGTCCTCTGGAGTGGCTCAGTTTTACACAAACAAGATAAATATTAAAGTTTTAGACAACAAGGCTTCAATTTTGTCTAATTCAATTTGTGATGCATTGTGTGACTC